CTCTTTCTTATCTGGTCTCTTGTTCTTGTGAGCACAAAGGTTAATCATTTATCTGTCTTATTTAACATGTGAAGCTATAAATCTTAAGGACAGCATTAGCTGCATCCCACAAATTTCTGTATGCTGCATATCACCATTCACCAACAGCTTTCCAATTGTATCTCCGTACTTTTTAAACCTTATTGATTTCTTTCTCCATTGTGTTAAGGTAAAGAGTTCTTAAACCAACTTTGGAAATCTGTGGAGGCTTTTAATAAAGTAGCCTAGACAATAGCTGTGTTGAAGTCATCACCTGATTAGTTTGTCACAATACAGCCATTCTCCAAGACCCATCAAATTTCTGTATCTCTGCCCTGGCTTTTCATGATTTGAAATGGTACTCAGCAACTTCCCCAGAGATGAAGCATTGATTTGGTTTACTATTCTGGCTTCCACTTGGCCTGTGTTATAGTCAAGGGGAGGGGAGGCGGTGGCAGGTAGAACAGTCTACCTAGATCCTAAGTAAACTTCCGCTTAAATCTCCCTGATCAGAAACTTGTCACATGATCAGGCTTAGCTACAAGTTAATTTTAAATTTTTATAGTTGAGAATGCTGGAGGTGAGTACTGAAAGAGTAACTTTAAGTACTTGCATATGGCAACAATGGAAAATAAAAAAACCCCAAGTGAACACTGAAGAAACAAGAAATAATGTTACTTGAGGAATTGCTTTAGGATTTTTTGCTTAATATTACTATTTCGAATAACCTCTGTACCATAGAGACAGGGGAAAACTTCTAAATCACTGCCATGGGTTTGGTGGCACAAGTCAGGGAAGTTACAGAATCCTGTTGTAAGGGCAGGACCAGGCACAGTGCAGGTTTTCTGATCCCATGCAGATCGGGTAAAGGAGGAGTCAGAGTCCTCAGTAGTTTTGCAGGTTTTTTATTTGGGGTTCACCAGGCATATGGCAGGCAGGGGTGCTGGCTGGGGGGCTGGGAGGCCTGCCAGCCTCCCAGCCCCCAGCAAGTCTTCACTCTATCTGGGCTCTCTGGCGTTCTCTGCTTCTGCTTCGGCTTCTCCTTCAGGTTCTGCTGCTGCTGGCTGGGGCTGCTGGCGTCCCCCCCGTGACGCCGCCCTTAAAAGCACAGTCTTAGCTCAGCTGAATCCTATCTACCTATGCCCACACCCTACTCCAGGTGCCCGCCATCAGGCATGCATTCAGGACAAGGATCCATCATCTATCCTGATGGCGGAAGGCAGAAAAGCCTGACATTTTCTTTACCCTACAGTCCACCCCCTCAGGGTTTTCTGCCATACAGTCTATACATATATATATACAATTTTCTAAGCAAACAAACAATGCAGCCATGGCCCACAAAAGCAAATACATCAAATATAACAAAATACAATATAACAAAATACAACAGAACACAAATAAGTCCAGGCAGGGCACCAACCAAGTGCAAAAGACAATTACTGGTACCAGCAGATGAGCCACCAAATCTGCTGCCGAAGGCACTGCTCATACGAGGGAGGGGAACCACTCACGGCATCTACTATATCACACCAGGAGCCGTCAGGCTTCCTGGCCTTCTCTGGCTGTAGTCTCGGCTACAAGGCACACACAGCATCCACCCCCAGGATGCACTAGCTCTGGGATTGGCAATTTTATTCTGTTGGGGGTAATCGCCAACCCTCAGGGTTTCTGTCTGCAGTCGCTCCAACACTCGGCCTTCATGGCCACCCATGCGACTCACAGACCCCTGCTCTCAAGCCAACCCACTGCACAAGCACATGGGTTGGGGATCCAAACTTTGCATTTGGCTTGGGCTCTACCCCAAGCCACATTCCCCACCCGTCCCCCAAGGACGGCCTCCTCAGCTCCTCACCCTCACTCAAGAATGAGCAGGGCATCACCCATAGGTGATTTTACGAGACTCACAGGGCTTCAGCATACCCAGGCTGCTTAACAGCCGCTTTAGGGCTTCTCAACTTAGCATCAGTACCAGCTTTTGCCACCTTAGTTGGCTTTTCTCCTCCACCTGGCCACTGGGCATACACAGGCTGCTTTTGGCCATCTAGGCCCACTGGCCACCCCCAGATTCTCAAAAAATAAACATAACCTGCTAAGGTCCTCCGCCTTCTGGCGGAATTGTCAGTCCAAAATCATCAGTTCATCAGTCTATCAGTCCATTGGCCTCTCCCTGCTTCAGCAATGGCCTGCTGCCTCAGGGGTCATTGGCTGGTCCTTTCCGGTGTCGTTGGCTGGTCCTATCCGGTGTCGTTGGCTGGTCCTATCCGGTGTCGTTGGCTGGTCCTATCCGGTGTCGTTGGCTGGTCCTTTCCGGTGTCGTTGGCTGGTCCTTTCGGGCGTCTCCTTCACGCCAGGTCTCATCCTGTAGCTCGTGGACGTATCCATCTTCTATACCGCCATGGTGCCTCCAGCGTCGTCACAGGCAAAGTCTGTTCTCCTTAGTCCCTCCAGGTCTTCGGAGGGCTCCAATACCCGTCTGCATGGATCCTGCCGACATACGCCAATTGTAAGGGGCAGGACAGGGCACAAGGCAGGTTTTCTGATCCCATGCAGATCGGGTAAAGGAGGAGTCAGAGTCCTCAGTAGTTTTGCAGGTTTTTTATTTGGGGTTCACCAGGCATATGGCAGGCAGGGGTGCTGGCTGGGGGGCTGGGAGGCCTGCCAGCCTCCCAGCCCCCAGCAAGTCTTCACTCTATCTGGGCTCTCTGGCGTTCTCTGCTTCTGCTTCGGCTTCTCCTTCAGGTTCTGCTGCTGCTGGCTGGGGCTGCTGGCGTCCCCCCCGTGACGCCGCCCTTAAAAGCACAGTCTTAGCTCAGCTGAATCCTATCTACCTATGCCCACACCCTACTCCAGGTGCCCGCCATCAGGCATGCATTCAGGACAAGGATCCATCATCTATCCTGATGGCGGAAGGGCAGAAAAGCCTGACATTTTCTTTACCCTACACCTGTTATATAGCAGGAGCAATGTAAGGGAATCCAGACCTACTTATACAATTACTCCTCTGACTCTTGTATTTTCACAATATATCGGACAGCTGTCACTCTTGAGTGGTCATTTGACAGTACTAACACCCTGTGAATTCTCTCATTGTGCCAGATGTAGAACATTGCTATTTTGGTATGCTGTAGGTTATTTTTGGGGATGGAAACGTTTTAAGTTCTTCATGTATTAACAATTTCCAGACCCCCCGAGTAACCCACCACATCAAACCAGTAAGGTCTACTTTCAGATACCAGGCTAAACGCATATTCAGGATCTCTAACCCCCTTATTAACAGATCAGAAACTTACTGTAAATGAGATGGTCAGGCTTTTACTCCACTGCCCTCTGTGGCGATCACCTGCGGCCATGAATGCAGGAGGCACTTGGGAGTGTGGGTGTGGGGCACGCATGCCTAATGGACACCTGGGGTATGGTGTGGGCATGCGTAAGTGGACACACCTGAGCCTGGAGGCTGACGCTATAAGGGTGGTGTCACACAGATGGGTGCAGCAGAGATCGTCCGTGATGGGACGGCTGTGGCGGAACAGCTACGAGAGGACAAGTGATGACAGTGAGGCAGGACCTAATGGTGGACACCTGGGGTATGGTGTGGGCATGCGTAAAGAGCCTGAAGAGTAGATTCCCCAGGGGCTGGGAGACCTGCCAGCCTCCTAGCACTCCCTCCCCCTCCCAGCTGCCCCCACCCCTGCTTTGCTAGCCAGTAGGCTTGCCCCACAACAACTGCTGTAGGATGGTATCACTTATAGAAGGAATGTAGAATAACCAAATAAGGGATCAGGGGGGAAAAAAGTAACTATAATGAAGTAAAAATTGAAATCAACAGGCAACTATAAACCAGAGACATTCTGCAGGGGGGGCGGTGGGGAGCAGGGAGGAGAAGCGAGTAAGATCAAAACAGAGGTGGGAAGAACACAAGGGACCCTGGTGATAGTTCCACGAGTGAATGGGTGGTGGGAATTTCACGGCAACTATAACCAAGATAAAAACGCATGCATTGTATGAAAATGAAAAATGATGTAAAAAAATATATAAAATAAAATAATTTAAAAAATAAACTTTTTCCCTTTAAATAGATAAAAGCCTGGAAAAGCCACTGAAGGCTCTAGGATTCTCCTTTACCAATCTGCCCAAACTGATTGAGAATCTGCCCTATGCCTTGCTGGCACTATACTTACATAGACAAGACTTAGGTTGACAATGGGGAAAGAAAAAGCATCAGTTAACATTTCAAGGCCTAAAAATATCCAGACTTAGTAAAAACAGCACTGATGCAATGTCTTAAAACACACACTTTATATAAAACATTAAAAAAATATATAGACACAAAAAGTAAAACACAATCCAACTGAATTTAGCCATATTACCCCCTTTTTCCAACATAAGCTTTGGATGTTTTTCTACATGCTTTTTATTTTTATTAAAATCAGTTTCTAGGGCCTCCCCGGTGGCGCAGCGGTTGAGCGCTGGGTTGCGAAGCTGCCCGCGGCCTCTGCGGCGCCGGTTCGATCCCCGGCTGCTCCCCGGCCACCGGCGGAGGATCCCACATGGTGCGCAGACCTCTCCTGCCACCCGCTGCTCCCCTCAGCAGTGTACTTCGGTCCTTCTGCCTGCTCTGCTCCCGCTCTGGCTCTGGTGAATTCTCTCACCCTCCCGTGCTTCTGACTGTACCCAGTGCATGTATAAACAAAACAAACAAACAAACAAAATAAATAAATAAAACATGCCTCTATAAAAAAAAAAAAAAAAAAAAATAAAATCAGTTTCTAATTCATTTGTGCAAATTAGGAGAAAATGATTTAATGAGTCATCTATAAAATTATCTTCTATAAATACTCTGACCCCATCCCTCCACCATCCACCGAATCTGTTGCTGAAGTGAATAATGCAGTGTACTGAGCCCAATCTGTAACCTTAATTTTCTGAATAGCTAAAAATTTCAACTTTCTGCCAATTAAACAAAAGACCCAAGTGGTCAAAAATCAAAGTTCATGGAAGGAAAAATGCATAGTAAAAAGCTTATTTAACTAAAACTTTATTGTCTTTCTCCCAAGCTACAACCACTCTTTAGCATTCAATTACATTGTACATATTCAACTACAACAGTTTACATTTGCTCAGGAACATATGATTACATTAAAAATAAATAAGTTTCTATTTCATAGTTTAATTGGCTCTTAAGTAGTTTCCCTCAGAGGAAAACAAGTATTTTATGTTCTTCAAGAGACTGGTATACATAAATGAATTGCTGTATGTCCATTTAACTGTGAGGAAACATAACAATGAAGTTTTGGGATTTTTTTTCCTAAAAGGCAATATAGACATGCACTTAGTCACTGCTGATGTAGTGAAGGGATGGAATGATGGACACGGAAGCAGTGTTTTGTAAGTGTAAAGTCGCAGGATATTATAAATGGGGGAAAAAACCTCAAAACGTCAATTGCTTAAAGGAAAAAAGAATCCAAGTCAAAAAGTGTTATCTATCCTTAAATAGAGAAATGTATACCACACAAAAATGAGACCTAGAGATCTGAGAAACATTCATTTCACTCTTTAGCAGGCAGACAAACAAAAAGATAGGCAGAGGGAATCTACACTAATTAGAACTGAGGCAACTATAACAAAAATGGAACAGAGCACAATGATTACTTCTCTTAGAGGAAATGACCAGTTAAAACGAAATTTCACTAGTTTTCATGTCTGTGATAAAATACTAATGCACAAAATATCAAAAGTATAAAGTCCAGATATTTTAAACTACCAGACCCCTGTCCAGATTATTTCCTCTCATTCTCCTCTGCTGAGCAGCACGTGCTGCCCAAGTACAGACACAAGTGTCATTCACTGTGAGAGCAGTGTTCATTTCAAACAAATCATTTGCCTTTTTACCCACATTGATATACATTTCATTTCTATTTTAAGACACGTAAGACCTTTCTGGTGGTTCATTTTAATCAACATATCACATAAAAAAGAATCTTGATTTTTGAAATAAATCTTTTCAGTACTGCTGCATGGTATGTTTAATTTAACAGGTGAGACATGGTGAGTACAAGGTGCTGTCTGAACTAATTCACAGCTGTAGGAAAACGTTTGATTCTTAAAATATAACCAACATAAGACTGCAACGTTATGAGTGGTAAAATACTAGAAAACAGTGAGTGAGTGAGTGATTTTTCAGTGGCCATTCATTATTTCGTTTTTAGGAACCTGGAAGAAGTTGTCTTCTCTGAGTTTCAAATGTTCTGGTAAATCTAGTCGTTTCTTAGCTTCCTCAATATCACCTTGAATTGCTGAAATAAGTGACTCTGCGGAGAGAATATTCCACATTAAGATAATGAAAAACTGATACAAAAGATATACCTAAATCTTGCAAGTTTAGAGAAAAGCACTAGCAAAAATGCATACTGCAAGCACCAAATGGATGAAACCAGTATTATTTATTCGCTTTAGTATTTATACTTGTATTATAACTATTACACTAAACTAAGATATCTGACCTGTCTCTGCCTATTTTCTCATCTGTGAAAAGCACAAAATTCCTTATATGGTTGTTGTAAAGATGAAATGTTAATTTTTATAAGGACTGCAACAATGCCTGGCATGTTAGATGCTTAAATCTTATCTGTCGGGCATTTCTTTACTGGTGGAAGCAGTGAAAAAGCGGCAATATTTGAGACAAACTAAATATGAACTTACCTAAAGAATCAAAGTTCTTTTCTGGTCTGAGATAGCCAACAATGGCCACATTGAGGATTTCTCCATAGAAGTCCTCTTTGAAGGTATGCATGATGTGAGTTTCCTACAGTCAAGAAATGTTTTAAAAAGATTACCATCAGATTATAAAGTACCTGAAATCTGTAATATATTTTCTTACATTAACTGAAAACAATCAATCTTCATTAAATTTTTGAAGAATCGTTAAGATCTAAGTGTATTTTTTCCTGAATTATTCCATTTTTCCTATTCCCGACCCTGACCTTACATGTAAGCCTGAGTGAGGCAAAAGTGCCACCACAAATCTGGTTTGATTTTCTGTTTATAGAAAAAAAAAATAGTATGTACCAAAGGAATTAAGAATCTTATCAAAGCAAAAAAATTGAGCAGAGAGGAAATGAGCAAAGTATTAAATGTTATCACTAAAAGAGCTAATCAGGATCCATGTGCCTCTTACACAAATTCTGGAAATTTCTGTGGGTCAGGCAAAGCTGAAGACTGATGTTTGGACAGAAGAGTCAATGTAGGTTCCTGCTCAGGGAATACAGCAAATGGGAACAGGACTTAAAGCAAAATGGTGCAGGAGATATAAGATGTCGAGTACATTCCTATAAAGAACAAATCTGAATCCAAAAGACAGGAAGACCAAACAAATATAGAAGGAGGTTGAGAATAAACTAGGAAGGTGGCACTGGAAATTGAGAGGATTAAATGTAAAGAATGTAGAAACATTAACTTGATACATATTTTGAAAAATATTTTGAGAAAATCCAACCCATAAAGTGATTCTCTAAGTTGAAGCATTTATCATAAATCAGTTAAAAGTACAGCCAGAGCATTTGGAATAATGAAACTGAAGGAGATAATAAGAGCAATTTATACTTAATAAACAACTTTTTTTTTTTTTAAATAGAGGCATGTTTTTATTTATTTATTTTATTTGTTTGTTTGTTTTGTTTATACATGCACTGGGCACAGTCAGAAGCGCAGGAGGGTGAGAGAATTCACCAGAGCCAGAGCGGGGAGCAGAGCAGGCAGAAGGACCGAAGTACACTGCTGAGGGGAGCAGCGGGCGGCAGGAGAGGTCTGCGCACCATGTGGGACCCTCCTCCAGTGGCCGGGGAGCAGCCGGGGATCGAACCGGCGTTGCAGAGGCTGCGGGCAGCTTCGCAACCCAGCGCTCAACCACTGCGCCACCAGGGAGGCCCATAAACAACTTATTTAAAATCGATGAAACTTGAAATCTAAATTCAAAACTGTTTATTCTTTATTAGTTAATATGGTTAAGTTCACCATGTACACTTGCAAAAACATTCAGCACAAAAAAAAAGGAAGGACAGGGTCTCCCTGGTGGCACAGGGGGTTGAGCACAGCAATGTAAAGCTGTCCAAAGCCTCTGTGGCAAGAGTTCAATCCCCAGCCAGCATGGGAGCAACCCACATGGCGCAACAGACCTCTCCTGACTCGCCCACTGCTCACCTCAGCAGTGTATTTCAATCTACCTGTTCTGTTCCCCACTCTGTCTATGGTGAATCCTCTCACCCGCCCCACCCTCCGCACCTTTGGCCTGTACCCCAGTTCTTGTGTGCATAGGTAAATAAATCTTAAAAAAAAAAGGATATATGACAGGAAGACTTTTAGATTAAGGTGAATTTTATTTTTTACCTTAAGAACAAATAGCAGTCTAATCTTTTTTGTTTTCGTTGCGGGGAAAGTCATGAACCCTTGAAGTCATTAAAGGGAGCTCTGTCTCCAAGTGCCTCTATGTAAAACTTTGCATACAATTTAATAGGATTTATGGATTTCATGAAACTCATTAAAAACAAACAAAAATACCCTCTTATTTACACTATTTAAAAGAAGAAAATATGACTATCGGATACAGAACTTTGTAACTTTATAGTACAGAGTTTGGTTTTGTTAGATTACTAAGTCTAAAACCACTGATAGAATGGGCCTGCCCGGTGGCGCAGCGGTTGAGCGCTGGGTTGCGAAGCTGCCCGAAGCCTCTACAGCGCCGGTTCGATTCCCGGCTGCTCCCCAGCCACGGGAGGAGGGTCCCACATGGCGCGCAGACCTCTCCTGCCACCCGCTGCTCCCCTCAGCAGTGTACTTCGGTCCTTCTGCCTGCTCTGCGACCTGCTCTGGCTCTGGTAAATTCTCTCACCCTCCCGCGCTTCTGGCTGTACCCATTGCTTGCATAAATAAATAAAAATAAATCTTTAAAAAATAAATAAAACCACTGATATAAGACTGAAATTACATATGATGTCAAATTCAGTGTTTAAGTGAAGCAGGGCAGTTTTGCAGTAAAAACTCCACTTAGCTAGTAATAATCTTTCTGTGGCTCAGTTTATTTCAACTGTATTTGAAAGGGTGGAGTTAGAAGATAAAAGGTTAGGAACTGTTATTTTTGACATGCATTCTTTCTTGGAAGCAAAAATTTGTATAATAAAGAAGCAAAGATAAGACTTCAACTCTTATCATTATAAAACATTCTGAGAGAAATGGTAAAGATGGCTACCCTCCCCAAAATTGCTCCACAGATTATGCTATCCAAATCAAAACCTTAGCGGTCTAAAGTTATATAAAAACGAGAAAGGCCAAAATTATTCAAAAAAACCTTTGAAAACAAAACTGGAAGACTTATACTACCCGACATGAAAACCTATTAATAAGCTGTGTAAGTTAAGACGAGGCAGTAATGAACAAGGATACACAAGCACTGTGTGTACCAGTGTATTTTATATTTTGGACTTTCACACACAAAGTCACTTGATTTATAACTAAAGTGACAAAACAGTGCTGTCAGGAAAAGGTAATATTTTCAATAAATGGGCAAGTAAATTTCACACTCACATGGAAAAAATATAATTTTTACTCCTACTGTTATAGGGCAGCCGCAATATTGGACGGGTTGCCTGGCTGTGGGTCCTCACACACGCGCTTACAAGGGACTTATTAATACTCCACTACAGGCATACACAAAGGGTTAATAAAAGGCTTATTTACAAGGGAAAAGGAAATAAGGAAAATGTACAACTCAGGGAGAAAATAGGGAAATAAAGTCTTTAATGCGTCCTACCCGATCCGCCGACCTGGAAACCCAAAAAGCACTCTCAGAGCTGGCCGGACGCTGCGAGCTGGCGGGGAGCCAAGATGGGCCATGGGACCCCCTCCCAAGCCCACGTGTCTGGCTTTATACCAACCTGGCTGCTTAACCCCACCCTCAGGTCCCAGCCACCTTCCTTTTGGTAGTGATGGGATTTGGAGTTCCCAGTGTCTTTGGCTTTGGCCTGGGGTGGGGGTGGAGTCCACAAAGCCTATATGGAATTAGCTTTAGGACATCCTTTTCCCCCTAACACTACCTCATACCATATTTAAAAAAAAAATCAACCTGGGCCTCCCTGGTGGCGCAGCAGGTTGAGCACCACGATGTGAAGCTGTCCACAGCCTCCTAAGCATGGGTTTGATTCCCGGCCAGCCGGGGAGAAACACACATGGCATGGCAGACCTCTCCTGCCTCGCCCACTGCTCCCCTCAGCAGTGTATTTCGGTCATCTGCCTGTTCTACTTCCCCCTCTGTCTCTGGTGAATTCTCTCACGTGCGCCCGCCTCTGACCTGTACCCCAGTCCTTGTATAACTAAAAATAAATCTTTAAAAAAAAAAAAAGAACTTAAAAAAAAAAAACAAAACCTGATGAGAAAAGACAAACTTTTAAAAAACTTTGAAATCATACATGAATCCCGTCATGACTTTGAATAGGCAAAGATTTCTTAGTAAAAATAAAAAGTACTAACCAAAAAAGAAAAAGCAGATGAAATGTATTATTTTAAAATTAAGGACACCAGTTCTTCAAAAGACAATATCTAAGTGAATAATAAAAAAAGCAATATTGAAGGAAAAGATATTTGAATTACGTAGTTCCAATAAGGAAATCTAGAATATAGTGTATCTTCTTTAAGTCAGTAAGAAGACAATCCAATTTTTAATACAGGCACATTGTAGATCTGTTTCTGACAAAGAAAAGGAAAACAATCTCCGAAAAATATGAATCTCCCACCAATGGAAAACTTAGTTCCTCCTAACTAAGGAATGACTTCCAACACAGCCCTTAACTAATAACTCCAGAGTGGTTCTATATTCTGAGCAGTTACTGAAGAAAAAAAAAGTTGCCTTTTTGTAGAAGATATTTACATGTATAAAGGAAAATCTTCATTTGTAAGGGTGCCCCACTCTAAGTACAAGAAAGGAGGTAATGACCAAATCTCTTTAATCATTTAATCTACATAAGACCCTCACTTACTGTGCCTTTCCTGGTAACCTCCCATAATTGACCTTCCTCACCCAGTACTCCCTCCAACAATGGCCTTTCCTCTCTAGCTGAAGATGTTATTTAAGGAGTTGGTTTAGGCCATTTTGGCAAGTTACTGTTTTCCAAGAACACAGGACGTATATGCATTATTATACTTTCATTTTCCTCCTGCTAATTTGTCTTTTATTAAAGTCAAGAATTTGAAAGGGTAAAAGAAAAATTACTTATTTTCCCTTACCCACTCAAAAAGTAACTAAATACTCCACTCTTAAATCCTTCAAATATTCCACCCAAAATGTAAGTGTTTGTGCTATGTTGTGATTACTACCGATGATGCATTCTATGTGCATTAATACCCTGTGTTGCTCTAAATCACCATCCCATTTTCAATTATAGAGCAAAATGCAACTCTTACCATCGATTTTTTTGTATTCTTGTAGTATGGGTTCCATCCTATGCTCACCACCATCTTATGGACATCTCCACTTCCCACGCTGGCCCAGCCATAATAAATGCCAGTGGACACATCAGCTGGAAGATTATCTACTACCTGTTCAGGAAAGTTAGCTAAACAACAGAAATATTCTTAGTGTTACAAATTGCATATGAGGCTAGTAAATCATTATGTTCACAAGATGCCTAGCACCCTGCCCTCTGATTTTCAATGCTATCATTCCAAATTCCGGCTCAGATTTATTCCTTCTCTTCATGTGGATGTCAAGAATAAGGTGCTGGATTATAGTAAATGTACAAAGCCCTCCAAAAAAACACTCTTCAGGCAGGGAACAAAAAAGTTATATGACCAGTTGTATTCTTCACACTTGATCTTTCTTAAGAAGGTTTCAAATTTCTTGAAAAGCTTCTTATTTTAGAAATACATACACCTAGATCCCGAGCACAAAAAACTGCTTTAATAGATCTAGAGCCAGCACTGATGCATATCTCTAAGAATGAGTTATGCATTCCTGCAAGCAAAAACTACTAAGACCCCCGCACCCCCATCAAATACCTGGTTCTCATTTAACTGCCTATGTCAACACTTGGACACTAGATGACATATTTTAAGTATGACTTACAGTTGGCTTGAGAACTCAGTATGTTTTCTAACAGGCAAAAACCTCGGCCAGATAAGGAAGGCAGCGGGTCAAGATCGGAAACTCAGGTTTCTGGCCTTCACACCCTTCCCCTCCCCAAGGTGCAGCAATCCATCAGGGACCAGCTCCCTCAGTCCGACCAAAGGTCCTCCGCTTCCACACAGCGGACACTGGGTGGAGGAGAGGGTGTCACTTCTGCCCGCAGCCCCGCCACGCGGCCCCGAGACCCCGAGTCCGGCTTCCCCCCTCACGTGACACCGCCCGGGGGCTCCGCACCCGCAGCGCTCACCGGTGGGGATGCCCAGCTGCTTGGAGCCGCGGCCGAAACCCCGCACAACCTGGCCGCGGCAGAAGTACGGCAGGTGTCGCATGGCGCGGTCCGCTGGGGGTGCGGGCTGCGGCCCGGTCCGCGCGTCCAGCGGAGCCGCCGTCGAGGCGGTGCCCGGACCCCCGGACCAGCCGGGGGACACGGACTGGACCTGGTCCCACCAGACGGGGTGGCCGGAGTCCCACCCGGCGGCGGTGCCGACGACACGACGCGGCGACCCCCCTCGCGCCGCTGACTCAACAGAAGGAGCCGGGCGACTCTGGTTGCGTCCACTCCGGCGCCGCCTCTGCCGCGGAAGTTAAGTGCGCGGAGGGCGGAGAGCGCTACAGGGGAGGGCGGGTCGGGAAGCCCCGGCCCTCGGCGCCCGGCTGGCGCGCACTTCCTGGTCGCGCCGCCCGGGCGCCCGCTCGGCTTCCGTAGCCCCGCCCCCCGCGCCCCCCCCCCCCCCCCGCCCCGGGGCCCGCCTGTCACTTTGGCTGGCTCGCGGCTGGCCCCAGGCGGTGGAAACTGCGGCGGAACCTGGCTGGTAGCCTGTGGGATGGGATAGCACAGCTCTCAGGCTGACCTCGCGCTTCTTTTCCCCTTTCTCCTTTTCATTAAGAGCCCAACACCAAAGAGACAAGTTCTTTAAGTCCTTGGCTGTCGCTAGGTAGATCATTATTCGTCATTCCTTCCCTCTTTAGTCATTTATTAAATTAAAGCCCAAACTCCAACTCAGAGGTTACCTCTTTGGGGATGGACGAGATATGCAAGGAATAATGTTTCTTACCTAAGCAGATTAGTGATTTGTTTTGCAGTGTGATTGATATGCAAGTTTGTTTCAAGCTTGTAACACGATTTCACGTTTATATACATTGAAAATGATCATTACAAGCAATCTATTTACGGTAATCTTATCAACTTGTACATTTACAAAACTACTGTACTGATTATAGTCCCCATGTTGTAGGGTAGATCTCCTTAACCTGTTTATTTTGTAACTGGAAACTACTAGAACCCCGACAGCCATTTCACCCGCCTCCCAAAGCTCCACTCCTATAGTAACCACAAAATGTTTTCTGTCTCTATGATCTTAGTTTTGTTTTTGGATTCCACATGAGATTATCTCTTCTGAGAGATTTTTCCTGACTACCTTCCAGAGTGCCCTCCTCTCCCCCAGACCACTTGAAGGTAAACATATTGTAAAATTTTCTAGGGGCCTAACCCCTAGGTCTAATAGGCAAGAAAGCCATCTTCGCAAGCTCCCTCCTGTATACAGGAATCTGCTTCTTGAAGATAAAGTCAGTTTTCTCAGACTAAAAAAAAAAAAAAAAAAAGATTTAACAATGTGTACCCAGTCTTTGTATTTCTGCAGTGCAATCATTAGCAAGGAAAAAATTAAATAATGTGTTGCCTTCCTTCGTATCAGCATATCTTTGTCAGGACAAATTAGAACTAGAAGTCCCTCAAAAAGTAACTACATACTTTTGATATCAGTGACTCACTGTTCTAACCAATATACATGATATTCAAACTTGTGTTTATTGGAGCAGTTTTCACAAAGTAAAATCTGATAAACTGCTTCCTGGGTTCGAACCCTCACTTTAGTTTTCTAATAAACTGTGTGCCGATCATTACAACTTTATTTTCAGTTAACATGACTATGTCAGAGGTTAAATCAGAATATAAGCTGCCTGTCCTAGACCAGTGAGAGAGGTCTGACCCAGTGACAATTTTTAGAACCTTTGCTCAATAATGGGGGTGGGGGAGATATACAGTCACTCTGTACTTTCCACTTCTTTTTTTTGAAATCTAAAACTGCAATCAAAAAATAAATTCTACTTTTTGAAAAAGGAATGTAAAAATTGCTGACCTTTAGGTCTGACATCTGGTTATCAGGTTCCACATCCTCTACCTCTAAACAATCACCCAGTTGCTCCTGATCTTTCTCCCCTGCTACAATTGAGTCCAGGTCACTACTAATAACCCAGCTGAAGCAGGCTCTTTTCGACTCTCCTTAGCCTTACATTTGACCCCAGTCAATCCCAAACAATTTTTCCTGCCAGCAGTGACCTTTCTCAAATGCCAATCTGATCAAGCTGCATCAAAAATGCTTCCACACTTCTCATCTTCCTAGAGTAAGTCTAAACTAAAACCATTATCCACAAGGCCTTCCCTATCACACCCTCAGCTCCTACCTCCACCTTTACCCAGGAGCTCTCTGAACTTTTGCAGTTTCGCTAACTCACTTCTGGGACTTCGAATAATCAGGCCCCTGACATAGCCAGTGCTGCAGTGTGTCAGAGAGGCAGGAGGATTGTGAGTTGTATGCCAGATGACAACTTCCCAGAAGAGTGGGATCTGAGCTGACCCTTGAGATGGGTGTGAAGCCACTGTACAAAAGACGAGGAGAGCGTCAACCTGAGGTGAGCTCCATTAGTTCCATTTTGGAAGGAGGAATGTGCAGTATCCAAACCAGAGCAGGAAAATTCTACTGTGAGGTGACAGAGGTTAATCATAGGCAAGGAGAGGACTCTGCTTTTACCACTCCTTTAGGTACATTAATTCACTTGTTTGTGTCCAGTCTCCTCACTGTACCATGGGAATTATGCAATGAAAAGCACAGCATAAAGGAAATCAGCCTATATCCCTTTGGGTTTTCTAGGCTGGCAAATAATCAAACAAACATTGACAGAATAATGAGAAAAAAGTAAAAAGAAGTTTGATAATATCATGATACCACCGGTTCCCTTCTCTTTCTTCCCCTTCTGGGAAGCCCTTAATCTTTGTTATCTTTCCTGATGGTGTCCGATAGATCTTGAAGTGCTTCTTCATTTTTTTTTTTCCTATTTCTTTTTCCTTTTCCCCATTTCCTTTGTGCATTACTGTCTTCAAGGTCACTGATTCAATCCTTCATTTTGTCTAATTTGCTTCCATAGCTTTCTACAGAATTTTTAAAATCATCTCTAATGACTTTTTTTAACATTCTATAACTCTCTTATTTTCTTATTTAAATCTTCAATTTCTATTTTCTACTCATTCACTGTATTTTCCATGATATTATCTGGTTTTTTCCCCCTCTTAATTTTGTTGTATCTCTTTGATTAGCTTTTCAGAGTTCTCTTGTATCATTTTGATTTGCTTTTCAGCATTTTCTTTCACTTCCTTGAATTTCTTGATCATGAGGTCTCATGGTGCCATGTGTTATGTATTCTTCATTGGTCTGCATATTTTGCTGTTTAATAGAGATTTGCAGGTGATTCTGTAGTGTTTTTATGATATCGGATGTCTGACATTTCTGGGTCTCCACTGTTTTGATTCCTATCTTGTAGCTTCTGACTCAGGGGTAATGGGATGGGTTTGGAGGGGCAAACCTGTGTGAATGCTCTTGATGGAGGCCAGGCTCAGGTTTTGGTACTTCTGAGAGCCCTTCTCCCTGAGGTTCCAGACCTGACACTGCTCTCAGTGTTCTCAGTTAGGCTCACATGTTCAGTAACCAGCGCTAAGGAGTGTGGGAGAGACAGCCCAATGCACTGTCCATGGGGAGCACCCAACTCTCTGCACCTGTTTCCCCTCAGTCAAGGATGTATGCAACCACCCCATCCAGCTCTCCTGTCACTGCCACTGAGATTTGTATGGCAGCCTCCTGCCCACAACCACAGCCTCCAAGCATCTCTCTTCACTCACCTCTTAATTACTGAAGAATGAATCTCCTCTATGTTCCTTTTGGCACAATCTGCCTGGTCTCTGATATCCGACAGGCATTCCAGTTTTGTCTCAAGCCATTGATCTTTCAGTGCAGTGTTTCACTGGTTAACCTAGATGATTCTCTGGAGACTGAAGCAAGGAACATCCTCTGACACCATTTGGGCCTCAGTAAAGCTACAGAAAAAGATCAAAATCAACTTCCACCCAGCCTTCAGAGCTCCTCCTATGAAATAAACCTATTGCCAAAAAAAAAACAACCAAAAAACATATTTTGGGGTGGCAGATTTTTGCCCCCTTACACATATAAAGCAACTAAGTCAGTATCTTATACAAAGTAAGCCCGAGTATTAGCTATTGATGACGATGATGATGATTTGTTGATCAGTGGTAGAAAATTTATTTTAATTTTACTATAATACACATGAGCTGGCTGATGTGTAATGTCTTCTTTAAAAACAGACATGTAAAATCTCACTTGAACCCCATATATGAAAGAAACATGTTAAAAAGCACTATTTTATTACCACAAATGTATTTTGTATTTCAAACTTAGAAAATTTACTATATATACTATAAGTTTACTCAGTGAGTACATTTTAACATGTCAATAATCTTTTTTTAAAAAAATTAAAAATTAAAACACACAAAAAAAATGTCAACAATCTTTAATATATCTAAATGTGATTCTATAGTGCAAACACCTGACAGGATTTTAAAATTGTAATATAAGTACCCAACATTAAGATTTTGGTGGTAGAGGCATCCTCTTCAAAGACATCAAACTTGAATAAACAATAAAGAACCACACTCCCCACCCTTGAAGTTTCTTTTTGTTTAGAGATTAACTGGTTGACGTAGATAACTGGCATTTTTGACAGTTTATTTTTCTATTCCCATGCTTTAATTCCTGCTGTGTTTAAAGTTCACCAATAAGGAATGAAACCTCAAAACCCTAGCTTCCCACGCTTGACCCCCCAAAAAAGCAGAGCCTGAGGCACCCTTCTCCCTTTCTATCTCTCCCTCAAACCCTCCCCACTTCCACCTCACTGTATGGTCCCAAGGGTGCTATCTATCCTCTAGGACTTTTGAATAATAAATTTTGTTTTTTCAAATTTCCTGATGGTTATTGCTGAGGGACATCTTGCAATCATAGTAAGAACCACAAGGGCCAATCCAACTCTTACTGGTTCTGCTGCCTGGGTCCTCTTGCCTGTCACTAACAAAAAGCCAATAAGCAGAGACAGGAATTGAAGCTATAAAGCACTTTGTATTTTTCAGATCACTAGCCACTGATCTGTGAGAATGTAAGGACCATTCTCCTGTTTCATCTCAAGCTGGCCTTTTTATAATAAGTTAAACAAAAACAATTAGTTGTAAGTAAAAAGCCCATCAGAACAGCCCTTCATAATTGATGTTCTTGGTATTCATCACATTTGGCCCCCAGAAGTTGTTATCAGCTTCTTGGTTATCTTGATCTGGTACATCAGATGGCGTCAATGACTGGCACTCATTGGGACATCATTTGGGCAGGAATTTCAGTTTTAAAGCAAGAGTCTTAGCTTAAAGAAAACAGATTCTTAGTCATATATGTGTGTATGTACTATCTATGCTGGGTGTGTACGTGCAGATTCCTATACTAGGTATGGTGCCCTTCCCTTCCTTCCTACCCCCTATCACAACCACAACATTGGTTCCAAAGAGAGGAAATGTCTGTGGGGTCTTTTGAGTGCTCCCAGATATTTTGATATAATAGCATCACTATCAATTGACCAAGACATGTGCAGAACAGGTTCATATCACTAAATAAATGTGTTAAAAACAAAACAAAACAAAAACAGCCTCAAATGGAGCTGTTCATGCTGGGCCCCACCAAGACTTAATACCTAATCTAATTGCAGTTTCAACCTCTCCCTAAAGTGGTATTTTAAACCAATGAATCTAGAGTTTCTTGGTTAGTTCTAATGTGGTAAACTCTAATAAGACCTCCCTGTCTTAACCTTGAGGGAAATGGCTTTTCCTGAAAAAAATCTTTCTTTTCTTTTCCTAACAACCTTGTTCCCACCCACTTTCTCACTATAAAAACCTTCCAATTTGCATACCCTTTTGTAGGGCCTTTCAACTGGCTGTATGGCTGCTTCTTGCATCATGAATCTGTAATAAAGACAATTATATCCCTAAATTAATTTGGATGATTTTGATTTTTAACATAGTTTATAACATAAATTAATGCAAGAAATATATACTCTAATATAACATTGTATAAACTAATTCATAAAAATATATTTACAATTAAATCTAGGCCAAATATTGAAACCTCTTGGACCCAGTTTGAAAATACTAATCTGGTCTAATGCTATCAATTTTTCAGATAGGAAAACAGAGACATAGGTCTTAAGGCCTGCTAAACCCAAAAGAACATGGAGAATCTATGAAATGTTGTGAGCTAAGCAGTCCCAAATTCTATATTTGACAGATATAAAATTACTTTTTCTGGGACAGTCAACTTATTTTGAGGTCTTCTCTATCCAACCATACCATAACAGGCCATAGTGAAATGTTTGTTCAGTTCGTTGTTGAATAAATACAGCTCATACATGGACATGGGAGCTGTCACTAGTGCTAATATCTTTACAGCTGTGGGAAAGAAATATAAACAAAATTTTACCACCTTCTACCCAAATGTAATATTAATAATATTTCTAGATAATCAGATGCTAATGTCAGGCCTGGAGGCCAACAGTTGACCCAAAAAATCAGATTATTAAAGACAAACTGATTCATTCATTTTGCTGCTTCATAGAGTATACTTCAAGATTGGATTACTAGTTTTCTTTCATATACTCCACTAATATTCTAGCATCCAATGTTCCTTATGTTTTTTATGTGTTTTTCACTGAGAAATAATTGATGGATAATCATAAAAAAATAAAAATACAATGTTAAATTCAATGTTAAATCCCAAATCAATAGCCACAAGGTTTTATTCCTCATGCATCCACAAGGTGGCCCATTACCACTTTGTTTTTTACTTCATTGCTATTTGAAATTAGAAAAGCAAACCTAAAAAAATTTGTTCATGCAGGTGCCATGTGAGGCACAGGAGAATTCTATATTCAGTGTAAAAGTTTGACTTCCTCACTGCTTCATGCATTTGAATTTGGTTCTTTGGTGACACATGACCATTATATGCTACTTCCTTTCTCAGTCACAAAGTATTTGATAATAGATTATTCTAATTTGTAAAGTTAGAATTTTTGGAGCTTCCTTTGAATATGTTTCATTTAGAAGGATAAGATGGAGGAAAAGAGAAGCCAGAATTATATAATGGAAAGACTCAAACCCCTTTCCCATTGGAAAAATGTTTTTCTTTTTTTCTTTTTATATTCCCCATACAATTGCACCCTCCTTATTTTGATCCCATTTCCTCCTTTCCCCGCCATCTATTTTTGGGCATTTGGGTTGTTTCCAAAGCTTAGCTATTGTAGGAAAAATGTTTTTAAATTACATATTTGATACAATGATGGTGTAGGGGGAAAGATAAAATGCTGAAAATTTCTGAGAAAAGAGGTAAGAAAAACGATCTAGGGCACTGGAATCTTTTCACAATAATTAGTAACTACTCAGATTCTAGAGAGAAACCTTTAGTTTATTTCAGGAAACTCCTTAGAGGCAAGATTTGTGAGTCATAAAATTGGGCATTCTTCAGCTTTAGTAAGAG